CCTGATTAATTTTGGGTTAAAATTTGTTCATATTAATTCTCTAATTAGCATAATAATTCATAATTTTTTTGTTCTGTTCTGTTCTGTTCATATTAGTTACCTGATGTACATAATTAGTTTTCAGCTTTTCTATCAATATCTCATGTACAAGTAATTTTGAATTAATTTTTAATGTGTCTTCAATACTCTCAGCACACGGGAGTTCTTTCTAAGCTTTCTTTGATTTTTATCTTTTTAGTGTAGGTTTTATAGTAGATAGATAGATAGAATTTTTTATTTAGAACGTATCAATGAAGTCTTGAGTAAAGTCCAAAAATAACAATAACAAAACAAAACATTCTGGGCAACAAAAACTTACAGTACTAAAACATATCAAGAATATAGAAAAAAAATGCTAAGAATAAAAAAATCATTACTTGAAACAATAATAGGAAATAATTCATCCATGCTAAAATCTTCCAGCTTTGGGACATAGATGTATAAAGCTGCAAAGAATCTAGATCTTTGTTCTTTGATTTGACAGTTATTACAATATAAAATGTAATGTTCATTGAATTCATGAAAATTACATAGCCTGTTTTCCTTCAAAATGCCTTTATGTCTACCGGATTCAATGGGAAAATAGTGTGTAGAAGTTCAAAATTTTGTATAAGCTATTCTATGTTTTTTTTTTAATTTTTTTTCTGAATAATGTTCAAATTCAAAATTTTCTTTAGAACACCTGTAAAAGTCAAGCTTACAATTGTTCAACAAATTGTTTTTCCACTTCATACGGTACAAACATTTGAGCTTCTCTTAATATCACAAGAATTTGGATGTGGGTCTGAATTAGTTAGATCTGTTATCACTAGTAATTTTTGTTAAGCCATGGGTCATGCACAAAAGTTTAGGATTCTTCATAGGCTGCATCAATGATAGAATTGTTTTGTTTTTACATACTAGTCTTTGATAATATTTCATAATTGAAACACAGATATTCAATATAAGTGGATATTGACCCAATTCACATCTACATGGGCCATTAGATGCTTTCCTGTGCACACCAAGAACTCTTACAGAATTTCATGTGAAGTTTTTGTCATGAACTTGTTTTTGCGTATCTGTTGACCGACTTAATTAGTTGATTATTAGCTGAATTGCTGTGTTATGTCTGTCATCGTTTAGGCCTATTTGATGTTTTGGAC